TCCTTCGCAATTTTCGGAAGAACCCTTCTTCTTATCCCCACGGAACGGCACCTAGAAGAAACCTGGAAAGGGTCGCTGACCATGTGACGTACGCTGACAGTTAATCATGCGCAAAATCATTTAAATTCTGATTTCACGAAAACCACAGCTCCTCACACGCTGATACGAAAGGAATACACAAGAGACTTGACAACAAACGAGACAGACCTCTGATAAGAAAGAGACAAACAAACGATTCTCTAAACTCTGAAAATACCTTTTCTACACATTGTAAATTAGGCCGAGTAAGTAACGAAACACTTCGTTACAAATTTCACTTCAAAAAGGATTTCTTGACAAGAATATGTTTCAAATTTTTGAAATGAAAATAATTGAATCTATAAAAAGAATTTTATTTCAATTTTTTTAAAATAATTGAAATCCTAGGAAGAAATTTATTATTTAAGAAAATAATTGAAATCTTCAAAAGAATTTTTCTTTCTATGAAGATAATATTGAATTTATGCGAAGAATTTTATTAAAATTTTTTTAAAATAATTGAAATCCTCGAAAGAATTTTATTATTTAAGAAAATAATTGAAATCTTCAAAAGAATTTTTCCTTTTATGAAGATAATTGAATTCTTGCGAAGAATTTTATTAAAATTTCTGAAAATAATTGAAATCCTTTGAAAAATGTTGTTTATTTATGAAAATAATTGAAATCTTGCTAAGATTTTTATTAAAATTTTTGAAAAATAATATAATTATGTCGATGAAAATTTAAATTTTTTTGGTGGAATTTAATTGAGATTGTATTGAATATAATTGAATTTTTAGAAAGAATTTTACTAAAATTTATGAAATATAAGTTAAATTCTTTTGGAAAATTTTACAACGAATTAAGAAAAATGATAATAATGATAATATGATAATATCATGATAATAATTGATAATAATTTTTGTAAAATTTTACTATTTTACAAAGTAATTGAATTGTTTCGAAGGATTTATTAAAATTTTGTTGAAAATAAAAATTTTTGTAATTTGCATAATAATAATAAATTGAATATCACGTTCCGCGCGTAACATTTGCTAGTGAATAGATAAAATACAAAAAAAATATTTTGAATATTTATAGTATTCAAAATAATTTTTTTGAATTTTTTAATTCATTTTTTAATAATTTTTTTTTCTTGAATTTGGCATAAAATTATATTTTCTGTATATTGCATTTTAATTATATTTATACAAAAATAATATTACAACTTATTGCAAATTTCAATATAATATAACAGATGACATTGTTTCAAAATAACAACTTATAATCCGTAAAGAAAATACCTTGCGGAAAATCCACTCGAACGCAATTAAGAAGAACCTTAATCCCCAGGGGTATAGTAGTTTTGCCAACAGATTTAAGAAAAGCATTTAGAAATACATAAATCATAAACTGAAGCATGAAAGTTGAAACCAAATGGGGTTTACAACAGTATAACAATAAATAAGGATATTACAAGAAAGTTATCTTTTATGGATATCATTATAAAAATAAAATAGGTATATATTTATCTTATTGTGTGCTCTGGAGAAACAAACTTTTCAAAATTTTAAACTTCTTATTTTAATTTAACCAACTTTCTGTTTTATTAAGAGGATTGCTTTCTGGTCAAGGATTTGAAAAAAATATGGATTTTTCCTTTTTTTGCTTTAAATAATGCGTGCCTTTAAAGTATAGCCTAAAATTACTGTCCCAAAAGATTTTTAAAGAATAATACGCAAAAGAAAAAAAATTTATAGCCTTTTTTATGACCGTGTCTTATAATTCACTCAAGTACATAACGAGAAATAGTTGAAGAAGAATGAATACTTTTTGAAAAATGTGTTTTCGAGAGAAACTCGTGTTTCTCTCGAAAACTCATTTTTCAAAAAGGGGCGACACATTTATCTCGTATAACAAAACCGATTTTTAAAAAAAAACTAAAATACATTTAATTCTATTCTTTATCTAAAAAAACTATAATAAGAAAATTATTTTCAACTAGTTGGCTGCAAAATTACATGCTTTCTGAAATTTTTAGTGTAATATAAAATGTTAGGCTAAAAATAATTAATTTTTCAAAAAATGTATTTTTTGAGAAAAATTACAAAGCCCTCTTTTACAGGGTTGCCACAAAAATTTAATTTGGTTTTTCCCAAACATTCCCTTATTTCCAGATAAAACTTTCTCTTTCTCCTTAACCCTAAAGAATATTCTGATTCATTCTAAAAATGATTTTAGATACTCAAAAAATCTTCTAATACATTTTATTTACGAATTTCTTTAATTGTAAAATTATTCAAAAACATCAATAACTTCATTTTTAAATAAATATTTAATTATTGAATCATAATTATTTTTCCATATGAATTAAAATTCTTAAAAAAATTCAAATTCAAATCTTTTTGAAATCCAAAAACTTATAAAAATATTATTATAAAACATGATGATGACAGAGTGATAAAAACATTACTTTATAATTTATAAGAATATTATAACTGTAACTTCAAATAATTTTTTAAAAAATTGAATTAAATTTTTTCATAAAAATTAATTCTACAGAATTGTTAGTTAAAATTATGAAAAATTTAGATTTTTAAAGATTTTAATTTGAAACCTTTTGAAAATTCAATTATTTCTAAAAATTCATAATTATGCTTTTAATATTCAATTATCATTTTAAATTTCAACTAAAATTCATTTTTAAATCAATTTTTATTAGAAAATTCTACGAGAGTAAAATTATTTAAGTACAAAAATAAATAATTTTTATTAAATAATAATTGAATGTTTCTCAATATTGAATTCTCGTATAATGGATTTTATAAACAAATTTTTAAATAATTGAATTCTTGTGACGAATTTTAATAAAAGTTTTAAGAATAATTATATTTTTCGAGGAAGTCGATTAAAATTGTATTAAAAATAATTGCAACTCTGCGATGAGTTTTATTATTTATGAAAATAATTGAATTTTATTTCGACGAATTTTATAAAAAAGTTTTAATCAAGAATTCCATTATTTTCAACAATTTAATAAAATTCATGTCAAAAATTCAATTATTTTGAAAATTTTTTTCTAAAACTCAATGATTTTCAACATTTTACTGTTTTAATCAATTTTCCCAAAAAAATTCAATTATTTTCCAAATTAATAAAATTCCAATTATCTATGAAAATAATTGAATTATTTTGAAGAATTTTATAAAAAAGTTTTAAGAAATTGATTCTTTTTAAATTTATGCAAATTCTATTTTTAATAATTGAATTTCTGTGAAATTTTCATTATTTTAGAAAATAATTGAAATTTTGCAATGAATTGTATTAAAATTTTTAAAAATATTTAGATTTTATAAATTTTAAAAATAATTGAATTGTTTTGGGAAATTTTATTAAAATAGAAAAATATTGAAAATTATTGAATTTCAGAAAAATTTTTGAAAATAATTGAATTTTTGCCATGAATTTTATTAAAATTTTTGAAAATAATTGAATTCTTGTAATGAATACTATTGTTTATGAACAAATAATTGAATCTCTGTAAAAAAAATTGTTATTTATAAAAATAATGGAATTATTGTGAAGAAATGTACAAAAAATTTGTAAATGATTGAATTTCCTGTGAAATTTTTTATTATTTATGACAATAATTAAAATTCTTTTGGAAAATTTTAATGAAATAGTATAGGTGTCAAAAAATCATTAAATTCAGGGAAATTTTTGAAAATAAATTCGAATTTTACTAAGAATTTTATTAAAACTTTTTAAAATAAATGATTTTCGAAGAAGAGAATTCAATTCAATTCAATTATTTAAATACAAAAGTAAATAATTCATTTAATAATTGAATATTTCTCAAAATTGAATTCTCATAAAGAATTTTAGCAACGATTTTTTAAATAATCAATTCTTTATACTTTATTTAATTTGAAACCTTTTTAAAATTCAATTATTATCTAAAATATTTTATTTGAAATTCAATTTAAATCAAATTTTATTAGAAAATTCTACGAAAATTCAATTATTTAAATACAAAATAAAATAGTTTATTGAATAATTAAATGTTTCTTAAAGAAAGAAAGAAAACTTTTGAAAATAATTGAATTTCAGAGAATTTTATTATTTTATAAAGATATTTGATATTTTGAAACGAATTTTTTTAAGTTTTTGAACAGAATTGAATTTTTGCGAAGAATGTTAATACTTTTGAAAATAATTGAATTTTTGCAATTATTTCTAATTTTTCAAAAATTCAATTTTTTAGTGTTTTTAACTAATAATAATTTTAAAAAAATTCAATTAAACTTTTTAAAAAAAATTAATTCTACAGAATTTTTTGCAAAATTCGGATTTTTTAAAATTCAATTATTGTCTAAAATTTTATCTGGAATTTTAAATACTATCTAAAATTTTATCTAAAATTCAATTTTTATTAGAAAATTCTACGAGAATTAAATTATTTAAATACAAAAATAAATAGTTTATTAAATAATTGAATGTTTCTTAAAGAAAGAAAGAAAACTTTAGAAAATAATTGAATTTCGGAGAAGAATTTTATTATTTATAAAAATAATTGAAATTTTGACAAGAATTTTAAAAAATTTTTTGGATATACTTAATTGAATTTTAATACTTTTGAAAAAATAATTGAATTTCTGCAATCATTTGTAACTTCTTCAAAAATTCAATTTTGTTGCTAAAACACAACTCTGAAAATTCAATTAATTTTAAAAGATTTAAGTAAAATTATTCATTAAATTTTTTTAATTGTAAGCCCCTTCAGGATTAAATAAATAAATTAAATAATTAATTAATTAATTAAATAAATAAAATAATTTCTATGTTTATTAATTTTATGAAAGTTCTTCAAAAATTAAGTTATTAAAAAATAAATTGTTGTCAGAAATAGAAAAATTGAAGGTTTTGTATTAGAATTCGTGGTAATTTTATATTTTATGAGGTAGACAAAAAAGACACTAAAATTCAGAATTTTCTTTTATAAATTCTAAAAATAACATGACCTTAAAGTATATAATCAGAAATCTTTTGATACGCAAATTAACAAGTAATTTTACTTTGAATCCAATCGCGATAAAATGCCACATCCGTATAAACACCTGGTTTACCGGGTCGAGCACAACCTTCTCCCGAGGACACAATTCCAACAAGTGAATTATTTACCAAAAGGGGACCGCCCGAATCACCATAACATGCATCATAACGTCCTGACCTGTAACCAGCACAAATATGCCCCCTTTCTATGTATCGCATATAAATTTTACACACTCGAAATGATACTATTGGAACTTCAACTTTCTGCAGATCCAAAGAAACTTCACCTCCCTCTTTCTTCACTCCCCATCCAATAACATTCGCCATAACACCAGATTTTATTCTACTCCTTGCATCAATAAGTGCAATTTTTCTTCGCACATTTTTCCACTTGAAACTCGATTTCACACGAATTAGAGCAATGTCATTTACAATTGTTGTCCTATTGTAAAATTCATGTGATATTATTTGGGAAATTAAATGAATTGTTCCACCATGCGTTGTAAATGTTGAGCCACTTCGGATTTTAAGTGATTTCAATTGGAAATCAGATATACAGTGAGCTGCAGTGAGGACCCATTTTTTGGCGATTATGCTACCGCCACAAATATGAAATCCATTTAATTGAATGGATACTTGATGGGGAAAGTCTGTAATTGATGCTTTTGTCCCACCTACAATGCGAGAGTCATCTGTGAGTTTTTTTATGGGCGAATTTTCAATTTGAATTGTCCTCGAAACTGAAATTCAATGCATTGTTATTTCAGACTTTGCACTCGATAATTATAATTTTAAAAAAGTAGCAAATTGTAGTTTTCAAACTAAAAAAAATAGTAAAAATGTAGCTATTGAAAAATTAAACTTGACGACAAAAAAAACTCGTTTTAGACACTTCACAAAACTGACAAAAAATAAATGATTTCTTTCGACTAATTTCATGCAAATTCTAATTTAAATAATTCAATTCCTAAGAAATTTTTATTAATCATGGAAAGAATTTTATGAAAAAAGTAGATATTGAAAATCATTTAATTGCGAAAAGTTTTTAAAAATAATTCAATTTTACAAAAAATTCTATTAAAATTTTTGAAAAATTAAAAAAAATTAAATTTTTTTGTAAATAATTGAATTCTTAAAAAGCATTTTATTATTCATGAAAATAATTAAATTCTTGCGAACGATTTTATTAGAATTTTTTAAAAATAATTGAATTTTCAAGAAAAAATTTATTGCTTTTAAAAACAATTGAAATCTTCTGATAAATATATTGTTATTTATAAAAATAATTGGATTTTGCCAAGAATTTTATTAAAATGCCTCAAAATAATTGAATTTTCAGGAATAATTTAGTTATTTATCGACATTATTGAATTCTTTCAAAGAATTATTTATGTGCATAATTGAATTCTTTGAAAGAATTTTATTAAAATCTAAAAGAAAAATTGAATTCTATAAAAAATTTTAATTAAAATTGTATTTAAAATAATTGATTTCTTTCTAACAATTTTATTAAATTATTTTAATTCCTGTGAAAAATTTTAATATTTTTGTAAATAATTGAATTTTTCGAAATAATTTAAAAAAAACATTTTTTTAAATTGATTTTTTCGAGGAATTGAAATCAAATTTTTAAGAATAATTACATTTTTTAAGCAATTCCTATAAAATTGTATTAAAAATAATAGAAATCCTGCGATAAATTTTATTTTATGTATGAAAATAATTGAATAGTTGCTAAGAATTTTATTATAATTTTCAAAAATAATTGAATTCCTGAATTTTATTATTTATGAAAATAATTGATTAATTGCAAAAAATTGTATTAAAATGTTTAAAAATAAATAAATTTCTGTGAAAAATATCGATATCTTTGAAAATAATTGAATTCTTCATAAGAATTTTATAAACATTGTTTTAAATAATTATTTTTTCTAAATATAATAAATGTTATGAAAATTTTGTTTTAGTTAATTGAATTCTTGTGGAAAATTTTATTTGTGAAAATAATTGAATTCTTACATAGAATTTTATCAAACTTTTTTTTAAAATTGAATTTGTATGAAAAATATTATTAGTGAAAGTAATTGAATTATTGTGAAGAATTGTATAAAAATTTTGTTAAATAATTGATTTTTCGAAACTTTTTTAAAAATGCTATTCTACAGTAATTGAAGTCCTGTGGAAATTTTATTATTTATAAAAAAAATTGAATTTTCGATGAATTTTATCAATTTTTTGAAAATAATTGAATTATTTTGCAAAATTTTATGAAAATACTAAATATTCAAAACAATTGAATTTCGAATATTTTTTGAAAATAATTAAATCGTTTTAGAGAATTTGATTATAATTTTTGAGAATTATTCATATACTAGCCAAACTATCCGCGCGCAAGCGCGCGGGAATGTTGTATGGGGCTGCTTATTTTAAACAATTTTAAAAATTTTAAAGAAATAATTATTATAACCTAACAAAGAGATTTAACTAACTAAAATTCAAATAATTTCACTCAATGGTCTCAATTTAAATAGAATTTACATTACTAGACTTAAACTATGGCTTTCAACAATTACAATTAGTATCTGGGTCATCTTTTGCATTGCTTATTTTATAAGGCCATTTTAAATTAAATTTTTTAAAGAAATAATAATTATTACACACTGAAAAAAGTTTTACTTCAAATAGCGATAAGTTTCTCTAGAATAACGAAAGTATTAATTGAAGCACTGAAAAATAATGAAGCTAAATCCCATAAAAGAGAAAAAAAAATGTTGAATTTTAAGAAAATCAAATTTTTGAATTTTTTCGAATTTTTGATAATTTTAGATTTTTTACCAAAGAGTCGAGACAATTTAATAAGTAAAGTATTTTCCAAAAGCACAAAAATAATGAAGCTAAATCCCATAAAAGAGAAGAAAAAATGTTGAATTTTAAGAAAATCGGATTTTTGAATTTTTTCGAATTTTTGATAATTTTAGATGTATTACCAAAGAGTCGAGACTATTAAATAAGTAAAGTATTTTCCAAAAGCACAAAAATAATGAAGCTTAATCCCATAAAAGAGAAAAAAAATGTTGAATTTTAAGAAAATCAAATTTTTGAATTTTTTCGAATTTTTGATAATTTTAGATTTTTTACCAAAGAGTCGAGACAATTTAATAAGTAAAGTATTTTCCAAAAGCACAAAAATAATGAAGCTAAATCCCATAAAAGAGAAGAAAAAATGTTGAATTTTAAGAAAATCGGATTTTTGAATTTTTTCGAATTTTTGATAATTTTAGATTTTTTACTAAAGTGTCGAGACAATTTAATAAGTAAAGTATTTTCTAAAAGCACAAAAATAATGAAGCTAAATTCTATAAAAGAGAGAAAAAAATGTTGAATTTTAAGAAATTCGGATTTTTGAATTTTTGATAATTTTCGATAATTTTAGATTTTTTACCAAAGAGTCGAGACTATTAAATAAGTAAAGTATTTTACAAAAGCACAAAAATAATGAAGCTAAATCCCATAAAAGAGAAGAAAAAATGTTGAATTTTAAGAAAATCGGATTTTTGAATTTTTTCGAATTTTTGATAATTTTAGATTTTTTACCAAAGAGTCGAGACTATTAAATAAGTAAAGTATTTTCCAAAAGCACAAAAATAATGAAGCTAAATTCTATAAAAGAGAGGAAAAAATGTTGAATTTTAAGAAAATCGGATTTTTGAATTTTTTCGAATTTTTGATAATTTTAGATTTTTTACCAAAGAGTCGAGACTATTAAATAAGTAAAGTATTTTCCAAAAGCACAAAAATAATGAAGCTAAATTCTATAAAAGAGAGGAAAAAATGTTGAATTTTAAGAAATTCGGATTTTTGAATTTTTTTGAATTTTTGATAATTTTAGATGTTTTACCAAAGAGTCGAGACAATTTAATAAGTAAAGTATTTTTCAAAAGCACAAAAGTAATGAAGCTAAATCCCTTAAAAGAGAAGAACAAATGTTGAATTTTAAGAAAATCGGATTTTTGAATTTTTTCGAATTTTTGATAATTTTAGATTTTTTACTAAAGTGTCGAGACAATTTAATAAGTAAAGTATTTTCTAAAAGCACAAAAATAATGAAGCTAAATCCCATAAAAGAGAAGAAAAAATGTTGAATTTTAAGAAAATCGGATTTTTGAATTTTTGATAATTTTCGATAATTTCACATTTTTTACCAAAGATTCGAGACAATTTAATAAGTAAAATATTTTCCAAAAGCACAAAAATAATGAAGCTAAATCCCATAAAAGAGAAGAAAAAATGTTGAATTTTAAGAAAATCGGATTTTTGAATTTTTTCGAATTTTTGATAATTTTAGATTTTTTACTAAAGTGTCGAGACAATTTAATAAGTAAAGTATTTTCTAAAAGCACAAAAATAATGAAGCTAAATTCTATAAAAGAGAGAAAAAAATGTTGAATTTTAAGAAATTCGGATTTTTGAATTTTTGATAATTTTCGATAATTTCACATTTTTTACCAAAGAGTCGAGACAATTTAATAAGTAAAGTATTTTCCAAAAGCACAAAAATAATGAAGCTAAATCCTATAAAAGAGAGCAAAAAATGTTGAATTTTAAAAAATTCGGATTTATGAATTTTTGATAATTTTCGATAATTTTAGATTTTTTACCAAAGAGTCGAAACTATTAAATAAGTAAAGTATTTTACAAAAGCACAAAAATAATGAAGCTAAATCCCATAAAAGAGAAGAAAAAATGTTGAATTTTAAGAAAATCGGATTTTTGAATTTTTTCGAATTTTTGATAATTTTAGATTTTTTACCAAAGAGGCGAGACTATTAAATAAGTAAAGTATTTTCCAAAAGCACAAAAATAATGAAGCTAAATCCCATAAAAGAGAAGAAAAAATGTTGAATTTTAAGAAAATCGGATTTTTGAATTTTTTCGAATTTTTGATAATTTTAGATTTTTTACCAAAGAGGCGAGACTATTAAATAAGTAAAGTATTTTCCAAAAGCACAAAAATAATGAAGCTAAATTCTATAAAAGAGAGGAAAAAATGTTGAATTTTAAGAAATTCGGATTTTTGATAATTTTCGATAATTTCACATTTTTTACCAAAGAGTCGAGACAATTTAATAAGTAAAGTATTTTCTAAAAGCACAAAAATAATGAAGCTAAATCCCATAAAAGAGAGGAAAAAATGTTGAATTTTAAGAAATTCGGATTTTTGAATTTTTGATAATTTTCGATAATTTCACATTTTTTACCAAAGAGTCGAGACAATTTAATAAGTAAACTATTTTCCAAAAGAACAAAAATAATAAAGCTAAATCCTATAAAAGAGAGCAAAAAATGTTGAATTTTAAAAAATTCGGACTTTTGAATTTTTGATAATTTTCGATAATTTTAGATTTTTTACCAAAGAGTCGAAACTATTAAATAAGTAAAGTAATTTCCAAAAGCACAAAAATAATGAAGCTAAATCCCATAAAAGAGAAGAAAGAATGTTGAATTTTAAGAAAATCGGATTTTTGAATTTTTTCGAATTTTTGATAATTTTAGATTTTTTACTAAAGTGTCGAGACAATTTAATAAGTAAAGTATTTTCTAGAAGCACAAAAATAATGAAGCTAAATTCTATAAAAGAGAGAAAAAAATGTTGAATTTTAAAAAATTCGGATTTTTGAATTTTTGATAATTTTCGATAATTTCACATTTTTTACCAAAGAGTCGAGACAATTTAATAAGT